TTCCCTTCTATAACAGTCTGAAATTGTGAGGTTTTATTACATTTTTAGACCAAAATATCCCACTAATTTAAACATAAGAAAAGTCTGTATGCAGTTTTTTCACCTGGTAGGAGTATGCACTAGGCACCATGTCAAGGATTATGTTGATGCTTGAGTAAATTTAGCAATTTTTTCTATAAATTTCTTTTTATGTAGCATTTTACATTTGAAAATCTTTTGACAGCTTGAGAAAATATTCAAGAACTTATGAGTCAAACAGATATAGAAAATTAAGCTGGACTGACCTTCCTTCTTTCCTTCCTTCCCTCATTTCTGATACTTTATTCATCTCTTGTTGATTTTTAGATGCATTCTCTTCAGTGCTGCATTTTCATTCTTCTTGAAAGTTCTCTAGCATTTAAAATTACTGATCATTTCTTGCTTTTTGAAACCCTTCCTTTCCTTGTTTTCTCTGGAGCTATGTAAGTTGCAGTTGTCTTCAGACTCTGTCATTTTTGTTGGAGGTAGTTTAGTCGCTAAGTTGTGTCCAACTCTTTGCAACCCCATGGACCATAGCCTTCCAGGTTCCTCTGTTCCATGGGATTCTCCAAGCAATAATACTGTTGTGGGTTGCCATTTCCTTCTCCAGGGGATCTTCCCGACCCAGGAATTGAGCCCAGGCGTCCTGCATTGTAGGCAGATTCTTTACTGACTAAGCTACGAGGGAATGACTTGTAGACTCTGTCATTTTTGTTGAATAGTCCTCAATACCATTAAATACGCCTGATGACTCAGCCCAAGACACTTATGCTCTGCCCATATTCTCCTCTTTAAGACTTTATCTACTTCAAGTCCTCCTGGAAGTCATCATCTCCAGCTTTGTACCTATAACTCTCTCTGCCAGGATGTTCCACTGCCACCTCACAGGCAACGTGCCTGGAATGGAATTGCTGTTTCACCTACTGACTCTTTGTGGGAGGCCCCTCCTACTGCGGGAGGCATGGTTATTCCCACAGTTACTCAGGCTCAGAACCGCGAAGTCATCCTGGATTTCTCATTCTTTCTGTCCCTTCCTATCTAGCCAGCCATAGGCTAAGTTCCTCTTTGGTAATTACAAATGACCCTTGCATCCTCTCCTTATTGCAGGTCCATATTGTCAGTTGTGTCCTACTCTTTCCAACCCTATAGACTGTAACTCGCCAGGCTCCTCTGTCCATGGGATTCTCCAGATAAAAATACTGGAGTGGGTTGCCATACCCTCCTCCAGGGGATCTTCCCAATCTGGGGATCTTTCTGATTCAGGGATCTTTCCAATCCAGGGATTGAGGCCGCATTTCTTATTCTCCTGCACTGGCAGGCAGGTTCTTTACCCCTAGCACCTCCTGGGAAGCCCATTATTTCAACACCACTTATTGGCCATCAGTCTTGTGCCAAACAGTGTGCCAAACACAGCAATGCAAAGGTAGACACGGCATACTTCCTGACCTTGAGGAGTTCATGATCTTGTCCAGTCTGACCAATTAGAATTTAAAATACCAGAAGGCAAAAACTATGTGTTATTTCTTTTTGTATTTTCATTACTTACCAGCATCTTCTATGGAGTCCATACATCAATATATTTATTACTGTAACAATGATAACAAAAGACAACAATGAGAGTATCTTGTTCCCATAATAAGAAAGCTAGCCAGGGTCCAGCAAAATTTTTCTCAATGTGTTTTTACATAATTCTATTAGAAAGTCAAATAAGGAAGTTACCATCTGTCCTTCTTTTGGGTTTCTAATATTATAGAAATTTCTTTTTAATCATAAAGCTATACATGCTCTAAAAATCTTTAAGGCCATGGTTATTCAGATTATTTTCTGGGATTGCACAAGAAGGCAAACCAACCTTTTGGGATCATTTGCAGAGTTCATTTAACTTTTCACTAATAAATTCTGTAATGTGTGTCAGAAATTCTGACACACACTCTCATAAATACACATGTACATATTACTATACAATAATCCAGAAAATTTATCACAAAGGCTGTGCTGAAGTTTCAGTAGTGCAATTAGTAGACCTGGCATAGAGTGAGAAGGAGTAATACTTTAGGTGCTTGTGTGCATGAGTGCTCAGTCCCTCAGTCATGTCTGACTCTGTGATTCTATGGACTGTAACCTGCCAGGCTCCTCTGTCCACGGGACTATCCTGTCAAGAATACTGGAGTGGGTTGCCACTTCCTCATCCAGGAGATCTTCCTTACCCAGGGGTCGAACTTGTGTCTCCTGCATCACAGGCAGATTCTTTACCACTGAGCCACCTGGGAAGCCCTGCTTACTAAGTGCCAAGTACTTTTTCAAAGAGATTATTTTGTATAATATCCTTTAATCCTTAAAACAATTCTACTATGTAAGCACCATTAGAATCCCCATTTTATAGATGAGGAAGCTCAGATACAGCAAAGTTCATAAACTTGTTAGGTTAGTGAGTGAAAGAGCCTAGATTAGAAGCCAGGAACTTAACTCCAGACCCTTGTGTGCTTAATGATTAGACTATTGTTTCTCCCAGAGGAAATGGCAACCCACTCCAGTATTCTTGCCTGGAGAATCCTATGGACAGAGGAGCCTGGCAGGCTATGGGGTTGCAAGAGTCAGACACAACTTAGCGACTAAACTACCACCACCACCAGAGATATACAAATAATGGCTCAAAGTCCCCACCACACACAAAAAAAATTGTGGGAAAGGCACACATACACACAGGGAATGGAACTAAATGGAAAATAAACTGTTTAAGATAATTATAGCCACTATAACACAGGGCACTGGAAATATCAAAGGGTCTCCTGCCCCACTGGGACTAGCTCCCTATCCCATGTTCTCTGTTGGGAAAAACAGAGGAGAAGAGCATAAGAGACAGGCTCTTCGTGAGCACACACAGCTGTCGCCACCATACCATTTTGTTTCCTGGAAGGTTGCTCACTGCACATGGCCTCTGAGGGGCAGAAGATGCCACTATTCAGTAGTCCTGACAGCGACTCCAGGTCAGAATGGCTGGGGCTAAACCTAGAAGGCTGGCAGGCTTCAACCCCCACGTGACTCATTTCTCTGTACACTAGAGGGATAGGTGGGGGTGAGACACAGCAGAAGAGAACAAGGCGATTCGTGGAGCTGGGCTGATACTGAGTTTTGGCTTCTGAGGCAAAGGCAGAGACAAACAAAACAACATGGAAAACATGTGGCAGAATGGGAGAGGAAGGGAACACCAGGAGACTCGGTGCCTGGACCAGACAGGGGCCAGGTGCAACTTTAAAATGCAGGCTTGCTGTCTGAGTTAGCATCTGCAAACCATGCCCGTATCTCCATTTTATATTGTAATACTCTATCATCTCATCCAAACACGCAGAGTGAAAGGTGGAAATTTTACTCCTTTCACAGAGAAAAGGGCTTCTAATAATAACAAAACCAAAATGACTTCTGAAGAAAACTGTAGATCTTTCTGATTCAAGGATGGTTGCATTTAAACAAATTTGTTTGACATTGCTAACACTGTTGGAAAGAAATAAATCAGAAAAAAAATTCAAGTTACTTTAAGACCTATGGGGTTTTGTGCAGCAAATCTTAAAGCACAGATCAGAATGGCTCTGGCCTAATCTTTATGAACAGACAAGGTTTTGAGGTTAAGGAAAATATGTGTTTGTGTCCTTGAATTTATAAAAATCAGTCCTAAAAATTAATCGACAAGGACAATCAGTGGAGAAAATATAGCACCACATCACAAATATTTTCTCAAATGATGGTTTTTGAAAAAGTATAGAAAAATTCATTTGAGTAGTTACTTCTCTGTTTATCACCATTATCTTTATCTACTTTTAACTTTCATCATTAAAAAGAAAATTAAGAATATTGACAGTTTTTCCTTTTGGTAGCCTTAGCCTTAGGTAAAAATGGAAATGTAAATACATTAAAAATATATGTAGAGACTTTGCATACGCCTCTAGAAGGGAGTTTGCTGGCTAGCTCAGTTTTTGACAAAGAAAAATGGGCTGCGCTTGCTACTTGCACAAAGATGCACTGTTCACAGAACAAACCAAAAAATGGAGAATTTGTGTTTAAAAGAAATTAATATCTAACCTGATAATATACTTAGTATAAATCTTCTATTAACTGATAAAATGTGCAGCTTATTAGAATTTAAAAGCATAACTTCCCAATAAGAACTTAATACAGATACCTGGAAATTCTAACAGCAAGCCAGACACTCAACTTCATTTTTAGTACCCTATAATTAAATATATACTTCTGCTTTTTAAAAACTCAGTTTTATCAATGTGATTGTACAGTAAAGTTTCCAAAAGCAGTGAGGTAAAGTATTTGTGAAGTCGAGCTGCCTCTGTTCTGTGCACAAGGCTGCCATCTGGGCTTGTTTATTTGTGTTCCCAACTTTCTGGAACAGGGAGTTTCAGTTAGGGACCGGGTATCAAGCAAAGGAAGTGTCTTACAGAAGACGATAGTTTTTTCTTTTTTACTGTATTTTCAAACTTCAGGTTTAGTTTGGTCAAAAATATCAAATGACTAGCACAATCACAACACTTAACACAGTTGGAAGCCTCAGAATTGTCTTAGCAAATATTCTTCCACATGATGCAAGTAACATTTCCTACATGCCACCTTCTTGTGCCTTTCAGATCTTTTTCAAAACATAAATTGTCATTAAGGCTATAGCTACTTGGCCGAGAAAGCAAGCATTTTTCATGTATCCTTCTACAAATAAGCATTTGATTTAAAAGTGAAAGAACTGTTTCCAAGCAGTTTTTTTGACTTTATAAAGTACATATGAGCCAAATTTACAAAAAACAAAGCAAACAGAGCTGAAATCTTTCAGAATGTAATTAAGAAACAAAGCATTATTGTTAGATTGATTGAACAATCTAATTATGAAGCACCATTTAAAAAGCCACAAACCAACCCTTAAAAAAACTAGTGGTTCTTTATCTTTGAAATCTTTCATATAACAAATAAAATAGAAGCAAAAATACCTTGTAATGTAAAGTCCAGCAATACATATTCGTAAGCAAATTCTGTCTTTGTTTCCACTTGCGGTCTCTTCAGGGTAGAAAATATTTTTCCAGGGCTGCTATCATCAGGGTCTTCTAGCTTTCTAAGTCCGCACCCCATGGCAAAATCTGTAAGGAATTAAATTGCAGGATAGGGGAGGGAGACCAGCAAACTCTGTTGTTGAAGCTGCAAAAAGAAAGTTACAGACTTAACTGCTTGGATTTTTTCTGCTAAAACATAGATACTCAAAAAGAAAACATCTGAGTCCAAAGAAAGGAGCTGAAGATTTTTTCTATCCATTTTTCTGTAAAGTCGCTGAACCCATGATGATTAAGCTACAGCTCTGGCAGGCTGGGCTTGATCTTAGTAGAAACATGCAAGCTGCTACAACTTAGCGGAGAATTTCCATGCCACGTCAATTTACAGCCAGCCCCCTACCAGAGTTCTGTCGCTCAGGGCACCAACAGTGCTTTGTCTATTCCAGTTGGCTGGATGATAAAGAAGGTGTCCAGAAACGGAAATAAGAAGGCAAAAGTGCAAATCAGATGGAAATACTTACAAGTAGAGGCTATATTCAGACATAGTGGCATGCAATTCTTTTTCTGTTTTCTCTTTTCCCTCTTTCCTGAGCCCACCCCCTCCTTCCTCCCTGCTACTACCAAGAAAGCAAAGGAGAGAGAGAGAGAGAATGAAAAAAATGGATTCTCAACGTGGTTGGAAACAAAAATCATTTCCAGAAAGGAAGTCAGGAAACTATTTCTGGAGTCTAGAAGGAAAAAGTTAAAGTTAAAAAAAAATTCCATTCTTAGTCTTTAGATAGCACTTTTGAGGATTTCTTTTCACATGAAGGTTTTTTATTTTTTTTTGTCGGAAAAATCATATACTAAACTGCCACATATAAAATGTTTATATTAAACATAATAAAAAAATTTAACTGCAAGAAGAGACATTAATGTGGATTATTAGCCTCACTAACATCTATTAAGTTTAAAATATCCTACTGTTAGAAGACTTATGATAGCAACTAACACTTCCATAGGTCCCAGAGTATCCTCAATTAAAAAACAACCGACAACTTGATTCATTCAGCCTTACAAGTTGCTATTTACCTGAAGTCAAGAACAATTCATAATGGAACAATGTAATGAGTGTTACTGTATTTTACCATTTACATATCATACTGATGAGTATGACATACTCATCAGAACTGTGAGCCCTGGAATCAGACCACCTGAGTTCAAATACGGCTTCTAATACCTACTAGAGACGTGATCTTGGGCAAGTTACGGACCTCTTCAAGTTTCAATTTCCTCCCCTGTTAAATGGAGTTAATAATAGTACTTACCTCACAGGCTTGTTATGAAGTTTGAAAGAGATAATCTTATATCTTAACATTATTTTTGGCAAATAGCATAAAATAAATTTGTTAATGTGCTTTTACATTATAAAACAGGGTTGAGAATAGTAATAGAAAGGAAGTGATTCTGCCACCATTCCCATTATTTACAAAGCAAATCTTGATGAATTTCAGATTTTATAGAACACAAGCCTGAAAAGATTTTTCAGTTACATTGAAGAGTGCACATGAAAACTCTCAAAAACGGATAGATTATTTAGTTTGTAGATCACTATGACCTCTTGTCTCTTCCTTCTGCCTTCTTTAAATAGTTTACTTCTCAGAAGTGTTTATTAACAGAGGAAAATTCCATAGTCTTTCATTCTCAAGGATGAGCACGGTTGGTCATAAGCAACTTGTGGGTAAACTTGGATAAAAAGATAGCAGATTCTGATCGAGTGTGACTGATCTGACTTCCATACCTGTCATTTTTCATGTTCTCTTTCGCTGTGAGCTCCAGAGTGCCACAAATAGAGTATCTGAAGCTCACTAACCGCTATTGCTGTACTTGGTAAATTATTTATTAAATAATCATTGCATTATTAAGTATCTGCTATGTTCCAGGCACTAAATTAAATGCTGGCTGGGTACACAAACTGACTAAATGTGGCCTCTGCCCTAAAGAAACTGAATTCTTAATGGGGAAGACAGACTTATAAACAGATAATTCCAATTTGATTTGGTAGCTGCTAAGATAGCAGGCATAGGACGCTATAGAAACCCTCGAAAGAGCCTGTAACTCAGCTTGGAGGGTATAATAGAGCTGTTTTGAAGGATGAATATGCAAAAGATAGATAAACAGAGGTGGGGAGTATGTGCCAGGAAAAGGGAAAAGCATGAACCATACTATGGAATCATGAAACAGTATGGCATGAATTTGAAGGAATACAACACAGTTGAGAATTACTATAACATAAAATTTGAAAGAAGACTAAGCTGTAAGGGAGGCAAGAGTCAGTGTAATGGACTTTCTAAGTTGCACAAAGGGAATTTTGACTTTATTTTGTAGATAACAAAGGAAAATCACATAATCAGATGGAAAAATTAGAGGAGGAGTTTGAAATTAGCAAGTGACATAAGTGTGTTTTTGGTAGGTTACTATGGTTGATTTGAGGAAGATGGTCTTAATAGTATCAAAGTGGGGGGAGGCCAGTCATTCAGGAAAGTACTGCAGTAGTCCAGTGAGAGTGGATGATTGAACAGATGAATGACCAAGATGCATCATTATGTCCTCAAAGAATTTCTATTATCTCTAGAAAAAGGAAATGCACTTCCTTTAGTTCAGGACTGCATCACTTAAAACATTTTTCTCTCAATAAGTCCAACAAAAGAAATTTTTGACTATTAATGATATTTCAAAACACATTTCCATGTCAATATGACACATATTCCTTCTATTTTAACAATTACATAGGATTTAGTTATATTAATATTATGCTTAATAAACAGCATTTTGGCTATTTTCAAAGTTTTATGGTGAAGAATTTTGTAAAGATTACTTTTTTCCCTACTTTGGATTAATCCCTAAATTCTTTGATTTTACTTCATAAATGGTCAAAGGAAACAGTTTACATACAAGGAAATCAGAAATAAGCTAAGAAAATGTATTCTAATGAGTAAATAATTCATTTACATTACTTACAGAAATATGTAGTTGGCTATAAACTGTTTAAGATATTAATGTTAGACTTTTTTTCTTTTTATTGGTCTCTGCTGCATGGCATGTGGGATAGTTCACTGACCAGGGATGGAAACTGCGCCCCCTGCATTGGAAGCTTGGAGTCACTGGACCAACAGGGAAGTTTTAGATTTTTTTTTTTCTTTAAAACTGTATTTTGGGCAGTAAGCTTTTGTTATCACACATATTTGCTCCATATCTCTTTAATGCTTGTACATTTTTAGACAAATACTTCTGGTTAAACAATGTCTTGCCTCTCCAACTTGTACTTAAGAAAAATGTACATTTCTTCAATAATATATTTTTTCCATTTGAAAAAAAATGTGTTTTCCGGTTTTGTTATTTTGTTTTTTAAATAAACTTGATACTTTAGAATAATATTAGATTCACAGCAAAATTCAGTGGAAAGTACAGAAAGTTTCTATAAATCCTCTTATCCCCACTCACACACAACCTTCCACTAACACCCAGCACCATTGTGGCACTGTTATGGTGCATTTGTTACAATCAATCACACATCATTGATACATCATTATCATTCAGAGTCCTTAGATGACATTAGGGTTCATTCCTGGTGTTGCACCTTTTGACAAATAGGTACAGCAAATTTTTGACAAATATATATTGACATATATCCACCATTACAGTATCATACAGAATTGTTTTCACTGTCTTAAAAATCTGTGCTCTACCTATTCATCCCATCCTTATTTCTTGTTTAACTTTTGATGTATCTGCTAATTGTAATATAAAAGGTAAAATAGTCCGTTCTTTCCCCCCTCTGATATTCAACTGTCACAATCATATTTGTTTTCATGGATAATCTTTTGTCTGTCGTGTATCCCCAGGTTTGTTGTATATTGAGTAATTACATTAAGTAGGATACATTTCTGGAATAAATGTTTTTTAACATTGGTCATTTTTTTCTATTGATTTATATTTGCTGCCAACTGTAGATTTCAGGGACAGTGTTCAGTTCTGTACTGTATAGGGGGTTTTCCCAAGTGCAGACTTTCATGTGGCCAGATATGATGAAGATGTATTATCAGTTCTTGTCTATGTTCCAGTATGGGCCCACTTAGTCCTTGAATGAATGAATGAGCTTTGTGAAACCATTCTCCATAATTTGTTGTTGTTCAGTTGCTAAGCTGTGTGTGACCCCATGGACTGCAGCATGCCAGGCTTCCCTGTCCTTCACTATCTCCTGGAGTTTGCTCACACTCATGCCAATTGAGACAGTGATGCCATCCAACCATTTCAACCTCTGTCACTCCCTTCTCCTCCTGCCCTCAATCTTTCCCAGCATTAGGGTCTTTTCCAATGAGTCACCTTCTCCACACTAGGTGGCCAAATATTGGAGCTACAGCTTGAGCATCAGTCCTTCCAATGAAAATTCAGGGTGGATTTCCTTTAGGATGGGCTGGTTGGATCTCCTTGCAGTCCAAGGGACTCTCAAGAGTCTTCTCCAGCACCACAGTTCAAAAGCGTTATTTCTTTGGCGCTCAGCTTTCTTTATAATTGGTGGCATATTATTCTCATGGTAACTACTCAAGTTTGGAACATGTGAGCTCACTGAAGTCTTAAAGCTTCTAAGAGATATGCATCATCCAACCCATTCTGTACAGAGAGAAATTTTTGCATAATCATAAAAATTTAAAATTCAATCTATTTTATGTGATCCTGATCCAAAAAAGAGGACTTCCCTGGTGGCTCAGTGGTAAAGAATCTGCCTGCCAATGCAGGAGACTCAGGAGACTTGGATTTGATCCCTGGGTCAGGAAGATCCCCTGGAGGAGGAAATGGCAACTTACTCCAGTATTCTTGCCTGGGAAATCCCATGGACAGAGGAGCTTGGTGGGCTACAGTTCATAGGGGTCACAAAGGGTTGAAAGTGACTCTGCATGCAAGGAAGGCAAAAAACCCTCAAAACAACCAGTTTTATGAAATGCTATTTAGTAAGGCACCATGTGGACACAAAGATCAAGAAGCCAGTTTATGTTCTCCAGAATTCACAACCCAGCAGACCAACACTGAGTTTTAACTGTT